TGCAGGGCAGCATTGAGAGGCTGGGCACGCCCACCTTCCTCACCAGAGAGGAGGCGGTGACCCCTCACCCCACTCCCAACACTGACAGTGCAGAGCCAGAGGAGTGGCTGCCACGCTGAGTGGCCCTGGGGCCGGGTGGGTGGGTGAAGGAGGTACAGGAGCCATGCCTCTGAATGAGACGCTGGCTCCTGTGCGCTGGACTGGCTGGGCAAGGCAGAGTGGGTAGAACAAAGGTGAGAACAGAAAGATAAGGCACCTCGTGCTCCTTAAAGCCTGTGAGCTCAGCGAGAGGGTGAAGAGCCAGAGTCCAGAGAGCGACACCCTGAGGAGCAGAGGGGGGAGAAAACCAGCGCAGGGTCAGGAGGGAGGGCACCAGAGTGCAGAGGAGAGGAGCTGAGGCACAGACAGAACCAGAAAGGGAAACAGCCAGAGCGTGAGCCCGTGGCCCTAGCTTCCTCCTCATCCCGTGCCTGCCCTGGCCCAGCCCCTTACTTACCTTGGGGGAGTCACTGGTCACGGTTACCCGGAAGAGGTACATGGACACTGTCATGCCCGCCATCATCAACAGCAGCAGGCCATGGCGTGGGTTCCCATGGGTGGACGGCCCTGCCTGTGGAGACAGCCCCAGCAACGTCAGGCCCCAGACCCTGGACTCTGACACAGGCCTCTGCTGACAGGTCTTTAGCAATCCCTTCACTGGGACCTCCGACGTTCTGAGGCCAAACTCCACAAGTCCCTTCCTCCACTCAGGCCAGCTCGGGACATGTGCTGGCAAACAGCACCACCCTCCCCAGCCCATTGCTGGGGTGGTGAGAAGCTCACTGCTAGGCTGAGAGAAATTCTGACTCACTTTGACATAAGTTAAAACCCTTTCCCATCTGGCTAGTGTTGCTCAGTGGTTGAGCATTGACCTATGAACCAGGAGGTCACGGTTCAATTCCTAGTTAGGGCACATGCCTGGGTTGTGGGCTTGATCCCCAGTAGGGGGAGTGCAGGAGGCAGCCAGTCAGTGATTCTCATTGATGTTTCTATTTCTCCCTCTCCCATCCTCTCTGAAATCAAAAAATATATATATATTTATTTTTAAATATATTTTAATTGATTTTTTTTTTACAGAGAAGAAGGGAGAGGGAAAGAAGAGGGATAGAGAGCTAGAAACATCGATGAGAGAAACATCGATCAGCTACCTCCTGCTGCACACCCCCTACTGGGGATGTGCCCGTAACCAAGGTACATGCCCTTGACCGGAATCGAACCTGGGACCTTTCAGTCTGCAGGCCGACGCTCTATCCACTGAGCCAAATCGGTCAGGGCAAATATATATTTTTAAAAACCCTTTCCCCATGGGCCTGATTTCCACATCAGCCTAAACCAGCACATGCCAACCTGACTGCCCCAGGGCTCCCGCCTCTGGTGCCTGTCCCATTCTGGCTGGGAAGATTATTGATTTCAGAGAGGAAGGGAGAAACAGAAACATCAGTGATGAGAGAGTCAGTGATTGGCTGCCTCCTGCACGCCCCCTACTGGAGATCGAGCCTGCAACCTGGGCATGTGCCCTTGACCGGAATTGAACCCAGGGCCCTTGAGTCCACAGGCCACTGCTCTATCCACTGAGCCAAACCAGCTAAGGCTCTGGCTGGGAAGATTTAGAGGGGTCCTCCTCCTGTCCCTTCTGCCCACTCACCTTCGCCATGGCCCGGTCCGACAGATAGCCAGCGGCAATGCTGCCAACAAGGCCCCCGACCTCCAGGGCACTCATGTAGGAGCTACCTGCAGTGGGGTTGTGGGGAGAGGGAAAGGGTGGGTGTTGCACATTGGGGTTGTCCCAGAGGGTCCCCAAGGGTGACTGGTCACAGCTGCCTGCATAATGCCCAGCCTCAGGGAAGGAAGAAAAGGAGGTGAAGGGAAGCCGGGCCTGCATTGGCTTCTGCTCTGTGCCCACCACTGTCCCAACACTCCTCTTACCCACAAGGGCCGACTGTCCTTTCTCCTGGATAAGGAAGAACTGGCCCCAGTCAGTGCAGCAAGTCTTGACTCCAAACACCACCAGGTAGCCAGTGGAGAGCACCCACAGGTAGGGGGACAGCAGCAGCTCCTGTAAGGTACTCTCCTCCTTCATGGAGCCTGGGGGAGGAGGCCAGGCCTCAGGCTCTGCTTCTGCTGCCCTCCCCCAGGAGCGCCCACCACTCATTAACCAGCCACAGGAGCAGAGTCCATCCAGAGCCCAGGGCCAGCAGAGGCCCCCTCACCCCTGCTCTGCCCTCCCCTCACTGCAAGCCTCAGCCAGTGAACAACACAGGACCAGGGCGGATGGAGGAAAGCACCCCAGCCACTTCAGCTTAGGCTGCTGCCCAGGACAAAGAAGCCTGGCTCTGTTGTGAGGAAGGGTCAGGGTATAATATGAATCCTAGCATTCATGGGTTCTGCCATTTATCTGATAATTGTGTTTAGAATGGAGTTTTATCTACTGACTCCCTAGCTCTCCATCACCATTCCAACCCCTACAACCATTAACTAGCACAGGCCAGGCGTACAGCCAATCCTCAATGAAAGTCTGCCAAATTAGGACAAAAGGGGTTGGCCTAGGTGGGTGCTCACCCTTTTTGCCCTTGGAGGGGGTGGGGTCCAGGTTGCGGAGTCCAACATCGGCAGGTTCATTGTGGATGAGCAGGAGACAGAAGAAGGAGACAACCACACACAGCGCCCCCGACAGGGCCAGCGTGCTGCGCCAGCTGTAGCTCTGGGCCAGAATGGTTGCCAGGATGGGGCCCAGCCCTCCAGCCAGGTTCATGCTGGTTGACAAGATGGCCCACCAAGTACCAAACTGAGATGGCTCAAACCACTGTGGGGTAGAGGGGGACAGAGTAGGTGCCCAGCCTACAGTCCACGCAGAAGGAGGGGATCAAGTGGGACAGACCCAGAAGCTCACGTTACAGGAATGAGGGAGAGGGTGCTTCTACTTGGCAGGGCCATTTCCCTCCTCTGCCACCTGATCTCACCATGTCAGGCTCCTAAAATACCTTGACAAGCGATAGGAGCCAGACTGACACTCCTGAGAAATGCCGCGGGTGGAGGTGGAGGTGCCGCTCCCCAGGCTCCTCGGATCCTCAGGGCCAACTGAGACAGGCTCCTTGGAAGGAGACACTCACCTTCCTGAGGACCTTCCCACACGGGGGCCAGCCCAGGCCCTGCGCCAGGCCATTGAGGAACCAGAGGGCAGCGAAGGCTGACACTGTGGAGCTCCATGAAAAGGCTATGTTGACCAGGCCGACCAGGAGCAGCCCAGACGAGAAGAGCCAGCGAGCGCTCATCTGGTCAGACAGCACTCCACTCACAAACTTGCTGATGGCGTAGGCTGCCGACTGGCTGCTGGTGATGAGCCCTGCAGGGGAGGGGCAGGGAGCAGGAGAGGTGGGAGAAGCTGGGGTCAGGTGGGCAGAGGTGCTGGGCAGGGTGAGACAGCTTCATTTCAGGAGCACGAGGAGGACCTGTGCCGGGACCCTGACCTGTGCTGGGACCCGCCACTCCCCCTGCCTCCTGTCAGCGCTACCCCGGCTGACCCATGACCTTTCAGCCTCTTGGAGAGTTCCAGCGACAGCTGTCTGGAAGCAAGAAGGGGCAGGACAGGCGCACCCTCCCTGGGATTCACATCCGCTTGATTCCCCCTCACCCTGGGTGCCAACCCCCGGCCTCCGGCCACTCTGCTGCCCCACCTTTGAACATGGGGCGAAGGCTTTAGAATGGAGCCAGGGACCATCTTCCTCCTGAAAGGTAACCTGCTGGGCTACACGAGGCCATGGTGCCGACTCCCAGTTCCCTGCTCACAGCGCCGAGGCCAGATGGGCAACCAGACTCAAAATCCCCTGAACACATTCAGCATGAACAGTGCCTCTGGGGGTACACGTGGGTCACAGGCACACAGACACCTTAGGTTAGCAGCCTGCCTCAGACATGCATGGATCATACTAAGTCCTTCACCCACACCGTGTACGTGGCTCTCCGCCTCCATCCGGCATGTGGAGACTGTGCCCTCACCTCTGCTGTGCCGATGCTCCACACACATCACAGGGCGTACACACCACACTGCCACACACACATCTGGTCCGGCGGGCCCTATGGCCCTGGCCCACCACCTGCTCTGAGCGCTCACCCAGGTCATCCTTGTCCAGAGGGACCTCCTCCACCAGCGAGGGCATGACGAAGGAGAAGGTCTTGCGGTTGAAGTAGTACAGGCTGTAGCCTCCGAACATGGCCGAGAAGATCACAGTGCGATAGTAGCCATAGCCCTGGGCTGCCATGGTGGAAGCCAGCGAGCCCTGCTGGCCAGGACAGGGCGCCTCTGACCACGGCTCCTGCCTGCAGCTCCCTCCGGGCCCAGATCTGCTGAGCTGGGCTTTTTCTGCTCCCTCCTCCACCTAGACTCCCAGGCTCTCTTTATAGCCACCTTCTGGACAATCATTAAGCCTGGGGCAGCTCCTAGAGAACCCAGTGTCCTGAGGGAGACAAGAAAACAGATTGATGGCCAAGCTGTGGGGGCCGGAGGCAGTGTCCGTGAACCAGGCCAGCACCCTGTGTCCCCAGGATGTCTCTCCTGTTCCCTGCGCTTCCTTGTTCCTCTGCCTGTGCAATCAGCGGTGATTAAAGGCTCACCCTAATTACTTCTGTCTGCAAGCGCCCAGGGAGGCGGTGAGAGGAAGCGACCAAGCAGAGCAGCCCTCTCCTGCCTGCTCCCATTCATTCCGCAAAGGGTTACTTAGGGTCTCCTGGGTGCTGGGCCCTGCCCTGGGCGCTGGGTGAGTTTCTACACACTCCGTCGGACACGCACCCCAACAACACCACTTCCAAGGCTTACAGAACTGACCTCAAGCCCTGTCACTCGCAAAGCTTAGCAGCCGTGGGGCAGAACTTTGACAGTTGCAGAGCTGTAAGGAGGACGTCCTAGTGCAGGACTCACAGTGTCGCCCCGCAGGCCTCACTAGGGGCTGGAGTGGTAGGATCACTCAGCGGCCTCCGGTCCCCTTGACCCTGTAACGCCGGTAGGTACGGGTGCGGTTCCCGTCGGGCTGGCTGGGGGCTGCAGCGGGGTGCGCACCCACGGACTTCCAGCGGCAGTGCCGAGCGGCCCCGGAGCCACGCAGCCTGCCCCCCGCGCCCCCCCCTCCCCCCTCCGCTTTTCCGCGCGGCTGAAGAGCAACTGGAGCAGAAGGCATAGAGCCAGCGGAGCAGAAGACCTCACGGAGGCCCCGCGTGGGCGCCCGGCGGGCTTCCGGGAGGGAGAGGCGGGCGTTCGCACCTGCCCAGCCCATGACCTCAGGCTGCGCCGCACCCCGACCCCGGCTGCGATGGGATCGGACCGGGTGTGGGAGCCGCGGAGGTGCGGAGGCTCAGCCTGATGCACGTAAAGGAGTCGGCGCGTGCCGGTCCCGGGCGGCGCCTCCTTGGTCCCCAGAATCAAGAATTGTCCCCCCACCTCCCCAGCCACAGGAACAACTCGGGTTGTAGCGGAAACCGGGGCGACCTTTGTTGGGGCTCCAGCAAAGGAGCCGAGGCCCTGAGATTCCCTCTCCAGCTCCGCCTGCAGGAGCCGCCGCACCCCCGCGCACCACCACCTACCAGAGCCCGGCGGGCGTCGCCTTAGGACCCAGCGGGCGGAGTGTGCGCCTGCGCCCTGGCGAGGCGGGGCCTCGGAGAGCCAAGTCCAGTCCCCAAGGTCCAGACTTAACCCCGCCACTCACAGTCCTTGGGCGAGGACGCGCTCCTTAGGGCTGGACAATTCTGTTTTCTTGTCTTTAAACGTATTTTTATTGATTTCAGAGAGGAAGAGAGAGGTAGAGAGAGAAACATCAATGATGAAGAGAATCATTGGTTCTGCCTCCTGCACTGGGGAGCCCGCCTGCAACCCGGGCATGTGCCCTGACTGGGAGTCCAACCCTCCTGGTTGTTAGGCCCACGCTCAACCACTGAGCCACGCCAGCCGAATTTGCATTTTTATACACCAATAATGAACTCTCAGGAAGAGAAACCAAGAATACAATCGCATTTACCATTGTAACAAAACAAAAAAATAAGGTACCTAGCCCGGCCCACGTGGCTAAGTGGTTGAGCATCCACCAAGAGGTCACCAGTTGGATTTCCAGTCAGAGCGCATGCTGGGGTTGCAGGCACCATCCCCAGTGTGGGAGCATGGAGGAGGCAGCCAGTTGATATTTCTCTCTCATCGATGTTTCTATCTCTCTATCCCCCTTCCTTCCCTCAATTTTATATATATTATATTAGAGGCCCGGTGCACAAAAATTTGTGCACTCGGGGGGGGGAGAGGGGGTCCCTCAGCCCGGCCTGTGCCCTCTCGCAGTCTGGGACCCCTCAGGAGATAACGACCTGCTGGCTTAGGCCTGCTCCCAGGTGGCAGAGGGCAGGCCCAATCCCTAGGTGCAGCCCCTGGTCGGGCTCAGAACAGGGCCGATTGGGGAGTTGGGGCGCCGCCCCCTGTCATGCACAGAGCAGGGCGATCGGGAGGTTGTGCTGCCACCCTCAGTCATGCTCAGGGTAGGGCCGATTGGGGGGTTGGGGCACTGTCCCCTGTCACACTCAAGGCAGGGTCGATGGGGAGGTTGCGGCGCCACCCCCTGTCACGCACAGAGCAGGGCCCATCAGGGGGTTGGGGTGCCGCCACTCTCACACTCAGGGCAGGGCTGATGGGGAGGTTATGGCTCTACCCTGTCACACACAGAGCAGGGCTGATCAGGGGGTTGGGGCGCCTTCCCCTGTTACAAACAGAGCAGGGTGGATAGGGAGGTTGTGGCCCCGCCCCCTGTCACACACAAAGCCGCAGGGCAATCAGGGGGTTTGGGCGCTGTCCCCGTCACACTGATCCCGGTGCCGGGGGGCCTCGCGGCTCCGCTGATCCCAGTGCTGGGAGGCATATTACCCTTTTACTATATAGGGTAGAGGCCTGGTGCACGTGTGGGTGCCGGCTGGTTTGCCCTGAAGGGTGTCCTGGATCAGGGTGGGGGTCCCCACTGGGGTGCCTGGCCAGTCTGGGTGAGGGGCTGAGGGCTGTTTTCAGGCTGGGGGTGACTGAAGCTCCCAACCACTCCTTTTTTTCTTTTTCTTTTTTTCTTTTTTATTCTGGGCCAGCTTTAGCTTTGAGGCTTGGCTCCAGCTCTTGGGCCTCCACTGCTGAAAGTGGGTTTCTGGCCTTTGCTTACAATGTTGCGATCCTGCTGGCTGAAGCCTGGCGGACTAAAGCAGGTTTCTGGGGTTTTGTTTAGCTTCTATATTTGTTACATAGTTGCTTAGAGTTGCAGCTCAGAGGCCTGCAGCGGCAGGCAGGGAACGTTGGAGTCCTCCGTCACTGAAGCAAGCAAGCCTCATGTTAGTTTCAAGCTGCCTGGCTGCCGGCCGCCATCTTGGCTAGCAGTTAATTTGCATATTGCCCTGATTAGCCAATGGGAAGGGTAGCGGTCATACGCCAATTACCATGTTTCTCTTTTATTAGATAGGAGATATATATATATATATATATATATATATATATATACACACACACACTAGTAGAGACCCGGTGCACAAAAATTTGTGCACTTGGGGGGATGGGGGGTCCCTCAGCCCGGCCTGTGCCCTCTCACAGTCTGGGACCCCTCAGGGGATGACCTCCTGCTGGCTTAGGCCCGCTCCCCAGGGGATTGGGCCTAAGATGGCAATCAGACATCCCTCTGGCAGCCCGGCAGCCCTTGGGGGATGTCCACTTGCCAGCGGGGAGCCGGCCTAAACTGCAGTCGGACATCCTTAGCGCTGCTGAGGAGGCAGGAGAGGCTCCCACCACCACCGCTGTACTGGCAGCCATCAGCCTGGCTTGTGGCTAGGCAGAGCTCCTCCCATGTGAGAGCGCCTTGACCACCAGAGGGCAGCTTCTGCATTGAGTGTCTGCCCCCTGGTGGTCAGTGTGTGTCATAGTGACCAGTCATTCCCAGTCGTTCTGCTGTTAGGGTCAGTTTCCATATTACCCATTTACTATATAGGATAGAGGCCTGGTGCATGGGTGGGGGCTGGCTGGTTTTCCCTGAAGGGTGTCCCGGATCAGGGTGGGGGTCCTGCTTGGGTGCCTGGCCAGCCTGGATGATGGGATGATAGCTGTTTGCAGCTGGTCACACCCCCTTCAGGGTGGGGGTCCCCACTGGGGTGCCTGGCCAGCCTGGATGATGGGATCATGGCTGTTTGCAGCTGGTCACACCCCCTTCAGGGTGGGGGTCCCGCTTGGGTGCCTGGCCAGCCTGGATGAGGGGATGATGGCTGTTTGCAGCTGGTCACACCCACTTCAGGGTGGGGGTCCCCACTGGGGTGCCTGGCCAGCCTGGATGAGGGGATGATGGCTGTTTGCAGCTGGTCACACCCCCTTCAGGGTGGGGGTCCCCACTGGGGTGCCTGGCCAGTCTGGGTGAGGGGCTGAGGGCTGTTTTCAGGCGGGTGGGCGACTGAAGCTCCCAGCCTCTCCTTTTTTCTTTTTTTATTCTGGGATTAATTTACCTTCTATAGCTGTCACTGGAGCTGAGAGCAGGCTCCAGCTCTGAGGCCGTTGCCGGCTGAAAGCAGGTACCTGGGTTTGTTTAGATTCTATAATTGAAACTCTGCTGCCATCACTGGCCACTCTAAGCTCTGAGGCCAAGCTGGCTGAAAGCAGGTTTCTGGGGTTTGTTTAGGTTCTATAATTGCAACATTGTTTCATCCGGAGCTCAGAGCTGAGCTGCGGCAGGTGGGGAATGTTGACTTCCTCCATCACTGGAGTAAGCAAGCCTCATGTTCATGTTCGCTTCAGCTGCCTGGCTGCCGGCCGCCATCTTGGCTGGCAGTTAATTTGCATATCTCGCTGATTAGCCAATGGGAAGGGTAGTGAAGTTATGGTTAATTACCATGTTTCTCTATTATTAGATAGAATATATACATATATACATATACATACATATATATATACTGAGTGGCCAGATTATTATGACCACCTGACGTTTGTAGGCAAATTAGCTATAATTTTGCGCTGAAGTTGCTTGAGGGCCAGATCATTATAAACGTCTGAATAGCACAACATACCAAAGTATCGTTGTTGATCAAGTTCATCCTATCATGTTGATGGCGTATCCCAATGGAGATGGCTTCTTCCAACAAGACAATGCACCAAGCCATGGTGCTCATATTGTGCAGGAGTGGTTTTAAGAATATGAGGGAGACTTTACCTTGCTTAGGTGGCCCCCACAATCACCAGGTCTCAATCCAATGGAGCATTTGTGGGACGAAGTTAAAAGAGCCATCAGGGCCCTAACCAGTTTGGCTCAGTGGCTAGAGCGTTGGCCTGCAGACTGAAAGGGTCCCAGGTTCAATTCTGGTCAAGGGCATGTACCTTGGTTGCGGGCACATACCCAGTAGGGAGTGTGCAGGAGGCAGCTGATCGATGTTTCTAACTCTCTATCCCTCTCCCTTCCTCTCTGTAAAAAATCAATAAAATAAATTTTTTTTTAAAAAAGAGCCATCAGGCAGCACATTCCACAACCATCAAATCTCACAGAACTGGACAGTGCTATTCATCAGGCATGGTGTCAGATTCCTCGCATCACCTTTCAACATCTCGTGGAGTCAATGCCAAAAAGAATCGCCGCAGTATTGAAGGCAAAAGGTGGCCCAAGGAAGTACTGATGGGATGGTCATAATAATCTGGCCATTCAGTGTGTGTATGTATATAAATATATATATATATATATATATATATATATATATATATATATGATCTTATATAACTCAACACTAGGAAAACAAACAATCCGATTTTAAAATGGGCAAAGGAGCCCTAGCCGGTGTGGCTCAGTTGGTTGGAAGCATTGTCCCGTACAGCAAAAGTTGGTGGGTTTGATTCCGGGTCCAGACCCAGGCAAGAGGCAACCAATCAATGTTTCTCTCTCTCTCTCTCTCTCTCTCTCTCTCTCTCTCTCTCTCTCTCTCTCTCTCCTTTCTATCTCTAAAATCAATTTTAAAACAATAATAAAATAAAAAATGGTCAAAGGACCTGAATAGGCACTTCTCCAAAGAGGACTTGCAGGTGGCCTATAGACATATGAAAAAATGCTCAATGTCACTAATCATCACAGAGATGCAAATTAGAGCTACAATGAGGTATCACCTCACACCTGTCATAATGAATACCATCAATAAATCAACAAACAACAAGTGCTGTCGAGGATGTGGAGAAAAGGGAACCCTAGTACACTGCTGGTGGGAATGCAGACTGGTGCAGCCATTATGGAAAACAGTATGGAGTTTCCTTATGACCCAGCAATCCCACTTCTGGGAATATATCCTAAGAAATCTGAAACACCAATCAGAAAAGATACATGCACCCCTATGTTCATAGCCAGTATCTAGAAACAGCTCAAATGCCCATCAGTAGATGAGTGGGTAAAAAAAGATGTAGTACATTGCCCAGCTGGCATGGCTCAATGGTTGAGTGTCAACCTATGGACCAGGAGGTCATGGTTCGATTCTTGGTCAGGGCACATGGCCTGGTTTCCGGCTGGATCACCAGTAGGGGGCATGCAGGAGGCAGCCTATTAATGATTCTCATTATTGATATTTCTATCTTTCACTCTCCCGTCTTCTTTGAAATAAATAAAAACATAAAATTTGTTTGTTGTCCCGGTGCACAGGACAACACCCAATCAACTGAGCCACAGCAGCCAGAGCTTAATTTGGCCAGTTTTTTTTTCTTTTTTAATATATTTTATTGATTTTTCACAGAGAGGAAGGGAGAGAGATAGAGAGTCAGAAACATCGATGAGAGAGAAACATCAATCAGCCGCCTCCTGCACATCTCCCACTGGGGATGTGCCCGCAACCCAGGTACATGCCCTTGACCGGAATCGAACCTGGGACCTTTCAGTCCGCAGGCCAACGCTCTATCCACTGAGCCAAACCGGTTTCGGCAATTTGGCCAGTTTTTACAGAAGAAATTATGCCTCTGATCATTTGATCCTATCTATGTAAAACTAGATTTTTTAAAAAGGTAATATGTGATCACAGTGAATTTTCTCCCTAAGGCTTAAATAAAGAGAAAGCAGTTTCCCATTTAAAAAAGAAAAGAAGCCCGGCCAGTGTGGCTCAGTGGCTGAGCATCAACCTATGAACCAAGAGGTCACGGTTCCATTTCCGGTCAGGGCACATGCCCAGGTTTCATCACTAGTTTTGTTTTTTTGTTGTTGTTTTTTTTTTTTTTAATATATTTTATTGATTTTTTACAGAGAGGAAGGGAGAGAGATAGAAAGCTAGAAACATCGATGAGAGAGAAACATCGATCAGCCGCCTCCTGCACATCTCCCACTGGGGATACGCCCGCAACCCAGGTACATGCCCCTGACCGGAATCGAACCTGGGACCCTTCAGTCCGCAGGCCGACGCTCTATCCACTGAGCCAAACCGGTTTCGGCTTCATCACTAGTTTTACCATGGTTAATTGGAAATGGTTTCCGTCCATCTAATTCATAGAGATGCCTATCTACATGAACTAATGCAATAAAATGAAGGTCTACTTTTTCATCTATATTTGGTGCCTCAGTCTGACCTTCATGGGCACTGGTCTCCTGAGTAACTCGAATAGCGTCATAGTTCTCCAGGTATCTGGCTCGTTCTTCAGGGCTCATTGACACAGACTCCTCTAGGAATTTCTTCAAGGTTGATCCAGATTCAAAATGCATCTTGTCTTTATTGTTGGCAATAGCATGGATCAGTCCAATTGTTCCACAGGCATTGCTGATTGTTTGCTTCATGAAATATACTGACGATTTAACATCTTGTCCCTGAGATTTTATTTTTTCCTCCTCTTCTGTTCTGAATACTTCATACTTTTCTGTAATAGGGAAGAGAAGTAATACTGCACATACTGGTCTTGGTACCATGCTAAGGAGTTCAGGATCCATTCCATATACATCAACAAATTGCCATTTAGGATGCAGACCTAATTGTTTGAGAAACTGGTTGGTGACCTCGGGGTTGGCCTCCAGCGGCAGCCAGCGGTGTCGCTCCATGGCAGCTCCGCCTGGCCACTCACCAGCTCTGACAGCCTTTGCGGTCACCCTGAATCCATTTATTAATATGGTGGTTGCAAATGGGGATTTTTCTCAATATATTATTCCTTCTATATTCATGAGTTGATAATCTTCTGTAAAGAGCTTTTCTCCCTCCCCCTCCTCTCTTTAAAAAGACTAGTATTGCCCAGCTGGGTATGGCTTAGTAATTGAGTGCTGACCCAGGAATCAACAGATCACCGGTTCGATTTCCAGTCAGGGCAAATGCCCGGGTTGCGGGTATGGGCGAGAGGCAGCCAATCAATGATTCTCTCTCATCATTGATGTTTCTATTTCCCTCTCCCTCTCCCTTCCTCTCTGAAATCAATAAAAATACTTTTAAACAAAAAGAGCAACTGGACTTAAAAGAAAATTCTTTTTTTAAAAAAAAAAAGAAAGAAAGAAAGATTCGTATTGTCCTAGCCAGTTTGGCCCAAGAATTGGAGCATTGTCCCCCAGACTGAAGGTTCCTGGGTTCAATTCCAGTCCAGGGCGCATACCTCAGTTGCAGGCTCAATCCCTGGCCCTGGTTGGGGCATGTGCCAGAGGCCAATCTATGTGTCTCTCTCACACTAAAGTTTCTATCTCTCGCTGTCTCTCCCCCTCCATTTCACTCTCTCTAAACAATGAAAAAAATGTCCTCAAGTGAGGATTAACAACAACAAAAGATTAATATCATTGTATTTGATGTATTATAATATGTGGCCACTATAATCTACATTATTGCTCAAATCTATACTAATAAAAGGGTAGAGCCAGTGGTCCTGGATTGCAAGAGGTATGTCTGACTGCCAGTACTCGGACATCCCCCGAGGGGACCCGGATTGGAGAAGGTGCAGACTGGGCTGAGGGACCCCCCACACCCGTGCACAAATTTTGTGCACCAGGCTTCTAGTTGTCTCACATTTGGTCAGTGGGAGTCCTTATATGTTTAACTTTTATTTATTTTAAAATATTTTATTGATTTCAGAGAGGGAGAGAGAGACAGAAACATTAATGATGAGAAAGAATCCTTGATCAGCTGCCTTCTGCACATCCCCTACTGGGAATCGAGCCCACACGTCCAGCATGTGCCCTGACTGGGAATTGAACCATAATCTTCTGGTTCATAGGTCACCACTCAACCACTGAGCCACACCAGCTGGGCTTTTAAATGTTTTCTATCATTCATGTTATACATTATTATTAGCGTAAACTTGGAAAAGACCAAAAAGAAGTTTTAAATGCCAGTTGAAGATTGCCACTTATAATAGAGCATTTCTGATTTTATTCTTTTGTGTATATATATGTGTGTACATATATATCTTAGAATATATAAATATAATCTTTCCCATTGACTTGAAGTTTTCCATTTATTTGTCAGCCTCTCCAACTACATAAATTCCATGAGGATAGACTATGGTCCCTTTACCACTCTACATAGGTAGTGTTTGGTTCAGAGCAAATACTCTGTAAATTAGTAGATGAGCAATCACTCAGATCATATAAACATTTTATATATTGATTTTTTCTGTTATTACATAAACATTTCTAAAAATATATTTTTATTGATTTCAGAGAGGAAGGGAGAGGGAGAGAGAGAGAGATAGAAACATCAATGATGAGAGAGAATCATTGACCGGCTGCCTCCTACAAGTCCCACACTGGGGATCAAACCCACATGTGCCCTGACTGGGAATTGAACCATGGCCTCCTGGTTCATATGCTCAACTACTGAGCCATGCTAGCTGGGCTACACAAACATTTTTACAGAGTTAAGGACTTTGAGCTGAGGAAAGTGAAACAATCAAAATGCTGTTTGCTACAAATTAGTTTGCCATTGAGGAGCAATAGATGGAAGAAAGAGCAGAAAGTGGACAGAGCTATAGTTTCAGTGAACTTTCTAGTAGAGAGAGACAATGGGAATATAGAATCTTGCCTCAGCCACTGCTGATGTTACTAGTTGGCTAGAGGGGAAGGGAGTGGATCCCAGAGTTGACATCAACCAGATCTAGAAAGTCTGGAGGAGTTTCCCTCAGCCACAGTTTAAGGGCAGAGACACCTGACAAGGGCCCTGAAAATTGCCCAGAAATAGAGTTTAACAGTGCTTCACACCTGCAGTACCAACTTAGGTACAATCAAACCTCCTCTTAGCCACAGCTTATGTTGTTATTTGCCTATCTTCTCTCATTTAAGTTCCCTAAAATAAAATATGAATTATATAACCCACTTCAGCATAGCTATGAAAATGAAGTAAAAAAGTTGAAGAGGAGGAGGAGGAGGAAGGAGGAGGAGGAGAAGGAAGAAGAGGAGGAGGAGGAGAAGGAAGAAGAGGAGGAAGAAGAAGAAGAAGAAGAAGAAGAAGAAGAAGAAGAAGAAGAAGAAGAAAAGGAGGGGGAGGGGAGGGGAGGGGAGGGGGAGGGGAGGGGAGGGGGAGGGGGAGGGGAAAGGGAAGGAGAAGGAGAAGGAGAAGAAGAAGGAGGAGGGAAGGGGGAGGGAATGGGGAGGGGGAGGGGGAGGGAAGGGGAAGGGGAAGGAGAAGAAGAAGAAGAAAGAGGAGGAGGAGGAGGAGGAGAGAAGGGGAAGGGGGAGGGGGAGGGGGAGGGAAGGGGAAGGGGAAGGAGAAGAAGAAGAAGAAAGAGGAGGAGGAGGAGGAGGAGAGAAGGGGAAGGGGGAGGGGGGAGGGGGAGGGGAAAGGGAAGGAGAAGAAGGAGGAGGGAAGGGGAAGAGGGAGGGGGAGGGGGAGGGTGAGAGGGAGGGGAAGGGGGGGAGAGGGAGGGGAAAGGGAAGGAGAAGGAGAAGAAGAAGAAGAAAGAAAGAAAACATTGTAAAACATCTTAATGATCAAGTCATAGTAGGGACTCACATGCTAGTTTTCTCACTCTCTATTTCCCAAGATATAGAGAAATAAGGAAAGGAAATGAGATGACATCACAAAAAAGCAAGACAGACTTTACTAAGAGATAATAAAAGCTAATGTGAATAAATGTAAATCAGCCCAGCTGGTGTGGCTCAGTGGGTGAGCATTGATCCATGAACCAGGAAGTCATGGTTCAATTCTGGTCAGGACATATGCTTGGGTTATGGGAGTTGCGGGCTCAGTCCCCAGTAGGGGCCATGCAGGAGGCAGCTGATCGATGGATGATTGTCTCTCATCATCGATGTTTCTATCTCTATCTCTCACTCTCCCTTCCACTCTCTGAAATCAATAAAAACATTTTTTTAAAAATATATTTTATTGATTTTTTACAGAGAGGAAGGGAGAGGGATAGAGAGTTAGAAACACTGATCAGCTGCCTCCTGCACACCCCCTACTGGGGATGTGCCCGCAACCAAGGTACATGCCCTTGACCGGAATCAAACCTGGGACCTTTCAGTCCGCAGGCTGACGCTCTATCCACTGAGCCAAACCAGTGCTGGCAATAAAAACATTTTTTAAAAAATAGAAATAAATAAATGTAAGTCATACTGGATGCCTGGAAAAAAAGCTATCATTTTGATACTGTCAAAATGTTAATCTTTTCCAAGTTCTTTTGGAGTTTTAGAACAGTTCCAATCAAAATTTCAATAGTATTTCTTGAAAACTGGACAAAATTATTTTAAAGATCATCTGGAGGAAAAAATAATCATCAGAATGAGAAGCTTGACCAAAAAAAAAGTAAAGAGGAGCATTTCCATTGCCAAATATAACAATTCTAAGGTTATGGTAATTGTATGGTTTGCAGTGGTTCTCAACCTTCCTAATGCCATGACCCTTTAATACAGTTCCTCATGTAGTGGTGACCCCCAATTTCATTGTTACAAATTGAACATAATTAAAGCATAGTGATTAATCACAAAAACAATATGTAATTATATATGTGTTTTTTCCGATGGTCTTAGGCGACCCCTGTGAAAGGGTTGTTCGATCCCAAAGGGGTCGCGACCCACAGGTTGAGAATCACTGGTTTAGAGTATAGACAGTCATTAAAGGAACAAGATGTACTAGAAACAGACCCTTGCATAAATGATTTTTACTACAATAAAGAAGATATGCTAGCCAGCATGACTCAGTGGTTGAGCATCCATCTATGAACCAGGAGATCATGGTTTGATTCCTGGTCAGGGTACATGCCTGGGTTGTGGGTTCCATCCTCAGTGTGGGTGTGCAAGAGGCAGCCAATCAATGATTCTCTCTCGTCATTGATCTATCTATCTATCTCTTCCTTCCTCTCTGAAATCAATGAAAAAATATATTTTTAAAATAAACTATATTAAAAAAAATTAACAGTGGAACACGGGGAAATTCCTGGAAAATGGATGATAGATTCCTAGTGTGTGTTTGGAGTATGAGTGGAGGGTGGTGGAAGGAGCACAGAGTGACAGAGGACCATAAACCAGTGATGGCAAACCTATGACACCTCTGACACGCGAACTCATTTTTTTGGTTGATTTTTCTTTGTTAAATGGCATTTAAATATCCTATATAATAAAAGGATAATATGCAAATTGACCCTAATAGCAGAACTACTGGGAATGACTGGTCACTATGACACACACTGACCACCAGGGGGCAGACGCTCAGTGCAGAAGATGTCCCCTGGTGGTCAGTGCGCTCTGCTCACCCAAAAACCAGGCTGATGGCTGCCAGCATAGTGGTGGTGGCAGGAGCCTCTCCCGCCTCAGCAGCGCTAAGGATGTCCAACTGCATCTTAGGCCTGCTTCCCGCCAGCAAGTGGACATCCCCCAAGGGCTCCCGGGCTGCCAGAGGGATGTCTGACTGTCAGCTTAGGCCCAATCCCCCCCGGGGAGCGGGCCTAAGCAAGCAGGTGGACATCCCCCGAGGGGTCCCAGACTGCGAGAGGGCACAGACCGGGCTGAGGGACCCTCCCCCCCAGTGCACAAATTTTGT